ATACACACATATGACGACATGTGAATGGTATACGTTCTGTGTTAGTGTATAAATTATTCTATTCTTTCCCCGACCCCTGCAGATGCGTGTTCACCTGGAGATGTTGGAGCAGGAACTGATGACCTCTCACAAGAAACTAGACGAGATGGATTTGGAAAACGAGAATCTACAAGCAGAGGTAAATTAGACACACTTTTTCAAACTCAAGAATGGGCATGCTGAAATAGGAGCGTAGAAACAGAAATACACTGTGTATTCAGTGACTTAACAGGGGTAAGTTCCTTAAAAACTCCCAAACTCCCCGTGTGGGTTCCGGGGCCCCAGTGTTGGACAAAACAAGAAAAGACCCATCGCCTTCCTAGCGAGCATGTCGTAAGAGTCGACAAAATAGGGATGTTTCCTCCGTAGTCGAAGTACATCTGCTTGAGCGGCGAGAAACCAACAGCCTGTATATAAATAAGCCAGATATGTAAAACGAATTTACACGCAAAACTAAAGTTCTGCATAAGTGCAGCAAAAGAGGTTTTGTAGTAATGATTTATTGTTGTATATTCCCAAAAGGTGAAGTTCCTGCAAGAGAGGCTTGCTGAGAAGGAGGTCAACGTTGGATTGCCAGAGCCATCCACGCCTAATGCTTATTACGAAGACAAGCTGCGAGAGATGGCCCAGGAGGCGGATGAGCTGCGGTGGAAGTTGATAGAAAAGGATAGGGAGATAGAAAGACTAACCGCGGTACAGGTGAGTAACCTCACAAATAAATCTGCATAGCAGTTAAGGTCGATATGTACAGATCACTGGTATTGTCTATCTTCTTATACATCCATAACGGTTTGACTCTTATGGAAAATAGGATTCCGGCTTTCGGACATAAATGCTATGGATAAATTGTACCTATTATTTATTGCCCGGCTCACTAGCTCAGTTGGTTAAAACCCTCTGCGCGGCGACCAGATGACGAACTTGTAGTTCGGGTTGACACCCAGGGGGTAAAAGAAAAGCTAGAGTACATTTCTCCCAGATTTACGGTATCTATCATGGAATCAAGGCCGAATGATTGTAATATCTATAGAACCGAGCCAAAGGGTTGTAAAACTCATGGTTTCTGGATACTTAAAAAAAAATATTTATTTATAAATTAGAACTAACAAATGTGAAAGAAACAAAATAAATAAATTTTGCAGGATATTATAAAGTTTTTGTTTCCCTCACAGTGATGAAACTTCGTAAGCTAGCTTGGTTTGGATAGGTGATGAGACATAAATCGATTGCAAAGAATATGTATACTTTAAGGAACATTGGATTGTACTCGAAAACAAGGGACGAGGGGAGCAAAAAGAACCTGGAATGACAACATTTCTAAATTTATGGGACTAAATAGTGGTTGCAATCAAGCAAAGAACTGCAAAGGCAAATGCTGCTTACAAAAGACATCACAGTGTCTAAAGATCAAACATCTACAACACTAAAACTAAACAGGATATACAAAACAAGCGTTAGGACAGAGATCTCTTAGGAGCAGAAACAGAAACAGACAGAAAGATGTAGAGCATGTTCAGAGGTTTTGAGAGTAGACTTCTTCGAAGATTGTTGGTGTTCACATGGGACGATAAAATCGGCAATTCTAGATTGCAACAAATTACAGACTTAGAAGATGTAAATTTAGAAATAAAAAAACAAAGACGGAGATAGAATGAACACGTCCTTAGAATGAAGAAAGAGAGACGGCCGAGACAGGCAATGAAATGGACACCACAAGGACAGCGAGAAAGTGGCAGGCTCAGAGACATATGGAGGTGAAGGACAAAAATGAAGATAGAGAAGATGGCTCAGGGTCGAACCGAGTGGCGACAGTTTGTCTGTGCCTTATGTGCCTCAGGGTGTGAAGAGGATTGATTGATTTAAATTAGCATACAAGCATACACCTCCACGATACTAATGGGTCAAGGGTATGTTATGTTGTTATGCTATATTATGTTACGTTATGTTATTATATTAATGTATATATGTATGGAGCTGTTAATCACATGTTGTTCACAGCCGTCTGTCACGTGTATTAATATTCGTTTGAAATACACATGTTGCTCCATCGGACCATGTCACTGCGACGATAAACTCTCGTCACATCCTCCCTTTTGAAGTACGTCCGGCTCTCCTCCCTTTTAACATTTTTTTGGCAGATGCTCCAGTTGATTAACGTAGCCATTTTACATCTAAGATCTTTAGATTTTTAAAGTTACATGGCCATGTTTCTACTTTATTGTGTAGCACTAGCAGCAGTAGTGGTAGTAGTAGTAGTAGCCGCAGCAGTAAGTAGTAGTAGTAGTAGTAGTAGTAGTAGTAGTAGTAGTAGTAGTAGTAGTAGTAGTAGTAGTAGTAGTAGTAGTAGTAGTAGTATCCGCAGCAGAATTAAGAAAAGAAAAAGTAGTAGTAGTAGAAGCTGAATTAGAAGTAGTAGTGATAATGCTGATGTAAGTAGAGCAGGTGACAAACAATTCTATAAAGATCCAGAAATAATGACGATGATTAAGTAGTAGTAGTAGTAGTAGTAGTAGTAGTAGTAGTAGTAGTAGTAGTAGTAGTAGTAGTAGTAGTAGTAGTAGTAGTAGTAGTAGTAGTAGTAGTAGTAGTAGTAGTAGTAGTAGTAGTAGTAGTAGTAGTAGTAGTAGAGTAGTAGTAGAAGAAGAAGAAGAAGGAGAAGAAGAAGAAGAAGAAGAAGAAGAAGAAGAAGAAGAAGAAGAAGAAGAAGAAAGAAGAAGAAGAAGAAGAAGAAGAAGAAGAAGAAGAAGAAGAAGAAGAAGAAGAAGAAGAAGAAAGAAAGAAGAAGAAGAAGAAGAAGAAGAAGAAGAAGAAGAAGAAGAAGAAGAAGAAGAAGAAGAAGAAGAAGAAGAAGAAGAAGAAGAAGAAGAAGAAAGAAGAAGAAGAAGAAGAAGAGAGAAGAAGAAGAAAGAAGAAGAAGAAGAAGAAGAAAGAAGAAGAAGAAGAAGAAGAAGAAGAAGAAGAAGAAGAAGAAGAAGAAGAAGAAGAAGAAGAAGAAGAAGAAGAAGAAGAAGAAGAAGAAGAAGAAGAAGAAGAAGAAGAAGAAGAAGAAGAAGAAGAAGAAGAAGAAGAAGAAGAAGAAGAAGAAGAAGAAGAAGAAGGAGAAGAAGAAGATGAAGGAAGAAGAGTAGAAGAAGAAGAAGAGAAGAAAGAGAAGAAGAAGAGAAGAGAAGAAGAAGAATAAGAAGAATAAGAAGAAGAATAAGAAGAAGAAGAAGAAGAAGAAGAAGAAGAAGAAGAAGAAGAAGAAGAAGAAGAAGAAGAAGAAGAAGAAGAAGAAGAAGAAGAAGAAGAAGAAGAAAAAGAAGAAAAAAGAAGAATAAGAAGAAGAATAAGAAGTTTAGAAGAAGAAGAAGAAGAAGAAGAAGAAGAAGAAGACGGGTAAAGAAGAAAAGAAAAGAAGAAGAAGAAGGCTGCAGCCGTGTACATTCCTATCACAGTAGATTGACGGTTGGGAGGAGGTTTAGCTTGTAGAAATCCTTAGACTACGGGTAAAAATATAAGAAAATGAAATATGGCTGTATGACGGTTGGTTTCAGTTAGCTTGAGAATTTCTGTGCAAATAATGAAATATCTGTAGGTAGTTTGGGTAAAAATGTCTGTACAAACAGGAAACAGCTGCAAACAAGCGATATCGTGGGTAAATGAACATGCGTAAAAACTTATGTATGCTAGTATATTTCTGAAAATGCATGTATCTTTACGGATTGATCAGAATATAAATGTAAGAAGAATTCAGCGAGTATGTTGTGCCAAAGAAAATCAGAAATGAAAACTTTGCGATGAAATAAACATGTTTATCCTAATAAACGTTATTAATGAGGGAAGAAGAAGATGGTTCAGACAAGATTACATAATACCTGGTGACAAGAGCACAGCTTTTTTAGTGGACAAAGAATAAAAAAAAAAAAAAAACTTCAAGACGTAGGCGACCTATGGAGAGCTGGAGAAGAGCAGTAGAAATGGAAATGAAGCTGTGTAAACATAGGATAGTCTGGGCAGAAAAAACATGTACCAGTAAATGTCCTGGGAAGTAAACACAGGCCTATGTGATGGTGTTACATGTATACGGATGTCACACTACACACGGGATGTCACACTACACGCAGGATGTAACAGTGACGTAACAAGTGTTCTCCGTCTCTCTTCTTCTCCTCCTTCTTCTTCTTCGTCGTCGTCGTTGTTGTCGTCGTCGTCGTTGTCCCCCCTCCTTCTCATCTTTTTCTTATTCTTCTTCTTCTTTTTCGGCTGCTGCTGCTGTTGCTGTTTCTTTTTGCTCTTGAAATATAAAAGCTAGCTTTTGTCCATACCCTATTCTTCCTTTCTTTCAGACTCGGCATAGCCGTGAACACGCTCACAAGAAAGGGGACAAGCTGAAGAAATCCAAGTCCCTGGAGGAGGCTGATATTGTACAAGGTGACCAAAGAAAACAGATAGAGCACGCTCAGATGGAGATCACCCGTCTAAAAAGAACAATAGAGGAATTGACACAAGCCAACGAAGATCTCCGTATTGAGAATGAAGGTAGGTCAAGTCAAGGATTGATTTGTCACATTGTGGTAACTGGGGTTATGGTTCAGACCGTTCAAGGATGGTCGGAGGCGGAGGGACGTTAGGAAAAACATAGGTTTCCTGAAACCGACAGTTAAAGGAAAATGAGGAGAGTTCACGTCACCTGTCACTCGTCTCTGTCATGATCTAGCGCGTTTACTTCTGGCGTAGGCGATCACACATCTGACCTCTGGTACACCTGAACAGCCAATTGAGTTTAGCTCTTAGCTCACAACAAGTTACTCCCCCCGCCCCGACCCCTCAGCAAACAGAAACCAAAAGCTGACTGTTAGCTTGAGACAGGACCCCTTTTGTTGAGTCGACAGAACAGATATGAGGAGATAGTAAACTTTTCTGGCTACAGCCCAGACATGAATAGATAGTATAACTCTGTGTCATTAGCCCAGATATAGATAGATAGTAAACATCTCTGTCCACAGCCTATTCATAAAGAGACAGTAAACCTATCTGTCTACAGTCGAGACATAAATAGATAGCAAACTTATCTGTATACAGCCGATACATAAAGAGATAGCAAACTTATCTGTATACAGCCGATACATAAAGAGATAGCAAACTTATCTGTATACAGCCGATACATAAAGAGATAGCAAACTTATCTGTATACAGCCGATACATAAACAGATAGCAAGCTTATCTGTTTACAGCCGATACATAAAGAGACAGTAAACTTCTCTGTCTACAGTCAAGACTCGAAGAGATAGTAAATAAATAGTAAAGTTCTCTGCCCTAAAGCCCAGACGTGAAGAAATAGAAAACTTCTGTGACATCAGCCCAGACATGACGAAATTGTAAATTTCTCTGTTTAATGCTCAGACATAAAGAGATAGTAAACTTCTCTGTCTACAGCCCACACATAAAAATATACTAAACTTCTGTGTCAACTTCCAAAGATTAAGAGATAAGAAATGTCAGCACAGATATGAAGAGATAGTAAACTTCTCTGCCTACAGCCCATACATAAAAAAATATACTAAACTTCTGTGTCTACAGCCCAGAAGTAAAAAGATATTAAACTTCTGTATCAAATGCCCAGCAAGTCAGAACATAAGTGAAGTAGTGGAGATCACTGGTGAATGCCTTATGTGTCACCAATGACATGAAGAAGAGAGTGATATAGAACTAGTGCACAAGTCTGTTTAAACCATTTTTACACTTACCCTAATATTTTATTTACTCGATTCTTCAGCTAGAAGAGTACAGCCATGTCTTCTAGACGAACAACATTCAGTTAGCATCCACATTAGGATTCATCTTATTCCCTGAGTTATCTGTCAACGTTCTTTAGGAGATTCAGGCAACAAATCCTTTACGGATCGTCGCTCTAGTCACGGCATACCTGAAAGTCTATCTCTAGCCAATTCCCCAACCCTATGTGCTTTCATACCCAAAGCATCTTTAATGTCTTATATCCACCCTCGTGGATGTCTGCCTTTTTTTCATGAAACGCTGCCCTCCATCACCGTTCTCTCCAGGTCACCCTGGGGTTTACCATGGACAAAATGCCCCAGCTTTCGTGACAGGATGCTGGTTATGAAGCAGTTCTCTTCAGTTTTACGTAAACATTATTAGCTATATATCGGTTGAAATGATCACAGAGGTTAGCTTGATTAATTGACTTTCGACCGCAGTTCCACTCAACTTGGAGGTCATAACAGGAAATGACTTGGAAAGAACTGATCAATTTTGACCACATTCCATTTAAAATGTCAGTGGGTGTAAAAATATGTGAGACTACAAGCACGCTGGATGATGATCATGGTGTGATAAGGTTCTTTACTTCCTAACTCACTGAACACGAGGGCTACGGCGACGTAGTGGCTAGACGTTCCGCTTCCGACGCGAAGCTCTTGTGTTTGAATTTACAAGTCAATTTTTTTCTTTCCAGAAATAACCTTTCCTTCCAGGCCAACTCAGCCTAAAATGGGTACCGGGTAAAGGGAAGTAAAGGCGGTGTGGATCACATCACCTATCAAATGGTCTTTAGAAATATGTCAATTATCATATATCCGAACGAGCTTTGTAATGCCATAATGCCGGGTTCGATCGCAGATGCGGGCGTTGCGCCTTGTGTTGGTTTCGACCGTGGTATCGAGAAGCTGATCGTCCAGAAAGCAATGGAAAACTACTGGACGTAAATTTGCCTAGAAAAACCACAACAGCCAAAAAATGCGCAGCTAACTAACATATATCCGATGAATAAATTGCTTGAAAAGAGACCTTTACTTAACTCTTGGAGTAAAGGTTTTCTTTCAACATTTATTAACAAATTTGTCTCCTTCCGGATGGGAGACTGCAGGATTACCCCCTCAAGGCTGAGAATCAAATAAGTAGAAATCCCGAAAATCCCGTTCAACCGTATAGCCCAAGTAATACTAGGACACACTGCAGTAACGAAGTAACATGAAGTCCAAGGAAGCTGGGTCAGTAGCCGTCAGGGCTTGTTTTTGGGGGTACGCGGAACCAGTACCTTTTTGTACCAATACTTATTATATAGTCAGCGCTGATGTAAAAGACACTATGAAGTGAATACGGTTCCTTTCTTTCATCAATTTTTTTGTGTCTCCAGCGCTGATGTAATGGGCCCTTCGCAGAGAATACACACATCTTTTCTTCTTCTTCTTCTTCGCGTTCACAAGCTATACACACCGGAAAGCTGTTTGTTCGTCCACTTCTGGACTGCAGTCCTGTTACAGAACCTGAGTGTTGCGTGTGTATCTGTTTTACAGATCTGACTCATTTGTATGCAGACTGCTGGTTCCTCTCCTCTTACGTAGATGTACTCTGACTTTGAAGGAAGCTCATAATTAGTCAACTCTTACGACATGTTTTTGGGTAGGCAGTGAGTCCATTCGTGTTTTCCCTATAATAGGGCCATGGAACCCACACGGGGAACACACCTTTTTAAAGACACTATGTGATGAGTACTGGCACCTTTGTTCCTAGGAAGGCAAGCATTGGTAACCAATCTTTCAACATCCACAGAATACAAGTACAGAACTCCCGTACCTTCAGTACTGGCTGATGACGCTGCTGTGGAGAATATCGAACTCAAGGAAAACCTTCGCAGACTGGAAGAGACTAATCGAGGACAGGCCGAGAAAATCAAGACTTTGAGTGACAGCTTACAGAAACTCACACGAGACACACGCTCTTATACAAGTATTGCCACTTCACCTATAGTGCCTGGTAAGTGAATTTGTGTGGTTTTTAACCCTGAAAGGTTTTACCGCCAAGAAAATAGAAATCAAACAAGTTAGCAAAGAAATCCCGCCTTCAGTATAACAGGACGTTTAATCAGTGAACGACAAGGGGGTAGCTTGATATTTTTGTTTTCTAAGATCGAAAGATAAATTGAATCGAATATGTCATTGCATCTTCCTCACCGTGTAGGTTCTGGAACCCCATTTCAGGGGAACAAATAGCACCAAGAGAGCATGTCGTAGGAGGCTACTAATTAGGGTTGTTTCCTTCGCAATCGGACTGCATCTGCCTGAGAGGGAAGGAACCCCAACAGTCAGGATACAAATAAGACAGATCGTAAAACGAATGGACACGCAAGTAAAGACTTATGTTCTGGAACAAGAAAGTAAAACATTGGAGAAACAACCATAACTTTTCGCAGCAGTTTTCAGCCCGTGACAGCTAACTGGAGCAAGAGGAATGTGGTTTCCATCAACGTTTGCTCTTACGTACTTTTCAAAATATTTGCTTCTTCCATTCAATCAACCAGGAGCCGTCTTCACACTGAAGGTTATCTGCAATGGATCTCCAACACGCTGTCTCTTGCCATGGTTGTGCACTCTTTCAGACTACTGTTCGTCCATTTATTGATCTTGTCCTCCTACTTGTATCATTGCCCACCTCTTGCTCTTTTGCTTTCGACTTTTCCCTTAAGTATGGATTTTAAAGGCGTTTTTGTATCTTTTAAAGTGGCCGAAGGATTTCAATTTCTCTTTTTTATTTCTTTCATTAATTCTCTTTTCATTTGTATTCTTTCCCAAACCTCTGTATCGGACTGCTTTTGTTTCCATGAAATACGACCTATTCTTCTGTATGCCCTAATTTCCAGGGACTCAGTTAGATTTTCTAGTTTCTTGTTCATTGTCCAAATTTCTGCACCATCTAGTGGGATTGAGTATACATTTAACGATTCTCATTTTTAGCGCTTGTGGTTTATCATTCTAGCTATCAGTAACTAGCACATCTCATAGCAGATAGTTGTAGCTATTCATATTCTCTTTTCGAATAATTACGAGTTATTCCATTGCCGTTTCTTCTTTTCTTTTTTTTTTTTATACGGACTCCAAGGCTAGACCTCTGACAGATAGGCAAATGGGTAGCAAATATATTGCCACAGCTCCTATATAGCCATTTTTTTAATAGGCGCCAGTCTTGATGACTCAAAAACTATGCGTCTCCCACCCCTTTTTACACCCATCAGACAAACGTAAATTATCTCGTTCTGGGGACGGTGGCGGAAGGGATGGGGGGGGGGGGGGGGGGGGGGAACAGGCCTCCACCTCTAGAAACATTTACAAAGCCTTACAAAATACTTAATAAAAACCCTTCCCCCAACCACGTTATATTTTTAAGTATTTGTTGATACCTTTCATGCTATTTCGAATACACACACACACACGCGCACACACACACACACACACACATATTTGCTATTCAGCACATCACAATAACAAATAATACTATTATAAGTCCTACAAAAGCAACGCTTACGCACGCCATTTAGAAAATTCAAAAGGTGCTGCCCCTCCCCCCCCCTTTTTCCCCTCTGTCTCCTTACCCCTCCCAAGTCGAGCCCGCCCACACCCATGTAGCACCTCACGCAAGATTTTTTTCTGGCAGAGCCGTACTTGAACCACGAATTCTCCCAGTTACGAACGTGACATAATAACCTACGTGTACTTACCACCATCGCAATGCATTTTACTGATTACAAACGTCAGGTAAAAACCTATGTGTACTTACCACCCATCACAGTGCATTTTCTATGTCCTTGACTTCACTTACAAACCTCAGTCAAGCTAGTACACAGTGTTCGACCTAAAATTATATAGATCACCCAGCGCTAGATTGGGTTCCATTGTGGGGACAACAAGAACAGACCCACTGCCTGCCGAAAAGAACACAACGTCTAGTTTGAGAATGGAGGGGGAGGCAGTCTCTGCTGCCTTCCGCTGGCTTGAGAATCTGCTGTACATACATGCCGTGATTGTAACTGACTCACAGAGCATGTAAAGAAAGGTGAAAACATATATGCTACGTGCAGAGTGGCAAGCATCACTTCAGAGGTTCCAGGTAGTTAGCATCCTTTAGATATTTTCTCCAGGAATTCTCAGTGTGTTGGGAAATGAGCAGGCAGAAAGACTGGCTGGCTCTTCACCCCTTGGTGGTGACTTGATGTATGAAAAGTTCGATATTTTAAGGGCCCTTTGAGAACGGGTGAACGGTGCCGCGGTGCAGATAGATCATTACGTTCTGAGGAAAATGGCGCTACGAGGGGATTTGGCCGACGCTCAACACTAAACCGAAGGAGGAGATGGATATACAATCAGACGGTTACTGGTACTATTGGAATGGAACTCTTCGCTTGCTGCTGAAGATGGGGACTGAGCATTTATGGGAGGGTCCCGAGTCCTGTGATGGCGATCCTGAATACACTATTCAACATTCTACCCAAAAGCATGTCATGAGAGTCGACTAAATGGGAGCTTCCTTTGAAGTCGGAGTACATCTACTTGAGAGGCAATGAGCCTTTTGCATGCAAATGAGCCAGACTTGTGAAACACATGTGCACACACCACTCAGTTTCTGGAACAGGACAAGAGTCCAAAAGTGGACGAACAACCAGAACTTTCTGCTTGAGTTTGCAACCTGTCAACTTAAAGAAGTAGAAGCTTCTTTAAGCTATTGGTAGTCTTACAAGTGGATTTTATGACCTGCCCGGTGGAGTTTCAGGTCGGTGAACACGAAAAAGAAAAAGAAAGATCACATGGACCGCCTTTACATCCCATGACATACCCTAATACTGGGATTCCAGGCTGGGTGGAACTGTGAACCTAGGTCGTGCTGTAAGACAAACATCCCCTCTCCCATGCCGTACTACAGGTTAGACCTGGCCTGTGTGACTGTTACGGTTGTCCTAATTATAACTTTGCTAAAGTATGAACGGGGTTTCTGGGATCTACCTTGATGATCTTCTTTCCTGATTGAGATGGGGTTTTTTTAAACTCTAAAGATGGTATGGGCAAATTATTGGTAGCAACCTGGAAGGAGACAAACTGGTCTATCGACCGTTTCCATGCGGTTTTAGACCCAATGCCTTCGTGTTAGTACGCAATCGCTTAGCCAGGAGGCTACTCCACTCCAACATAGGAACGTGTGTTTTTCTCCCGAGCATTTTCCAGCTCTCATCCCAACCCCCTCCCCCTTTTCTCCCCTTCCTCCCCTCACACACAAGACACAGCACTCATACGCGCGTACGCGCGCACATACACACACATTATTAGAGGAAACAGGGTAGGGGAGGGGAGGAGGTCGCAATGCCCCGCTGGGCACTAACCGAGAGGTCCCACGAGCGTAGGGCTCGTGTTTAATCTATGCATGTCAGGTGGGTAACTCTTACGCTGGTCTCCCCATTTACACACCACTACCGACTAGCTCGCTTCCGATTGGACAACCCACTGACCACGTCAAATCTGATAGGTCGGCCTCGAGCGATCTGACTTTCACACAAGGTCACGGGGATATTCCGCACTCGCGCTCATACCGCGTGTTGTATATTTCATCATGGCAGAGCTTTTAACACTTCTACAATATTTAGATACTGGGTCTAAGACAAAACCCCCTAGAGAGTGACAAAATCTATGTTCCCATGCCTTCTCTTTCTTAGAAATAAAAACGTAAAGCCAGACAACAACAGACTGTGACACCCATAACCTCGAATACGGTAGACTAGTCCAACCAACATTTTAAAGCAGTTAACCTACAACCGGTGGTGTGTAAATGGGGTGACCATCGTAAAAATAACCATCAGGTGATTTGCCACAGTGGCTGTAGTATAAACCCTCAGCCCAGGGGCCATAATACTGTTGCGATGGCTGCTAGGGGAAAGAGCTAAGGGCCTTGTTTCGACATCTAGATATTAACAAGGGATTGACAGGTTTCTCGCTAACCTTTCATTGACTTTTAACCCCTAAACATTTATAGAGGTTCTCTGTCATATTTGTTGATACATTTTGTATAATTTCAAAAATATTATAATTATTTGCCCTTTAGCTTATGGCAATTATGCCAGAATCCGGCCAGAACGTTTGTAGGACATCATTTTTGTCAGCGCTTTTGTGATAGACATTTTGTGGTATAGTTAATTACGCTTCTCGTCCTTTTCAGGATGAAATTTTTCGTTATTTGAAGCCCTTCTCTGGCTTAGCCAGGTGCCGCAATATAGCCTGGCCATAAATATGACCTAAAGGCTGAACGCGGCTTCTGGGACCTCTCCATGGTGATGCTCACCCACATGGTGGCACATTGTGTCATCGGGTGTTTATCGCTTGTGTGATGTCCTGGTGGAGTAGAAAGTCAGTCAGTCAGTCAGGAAGCATGTTTTTAAAGGTATTATATTAATTACTATTTTTAATTACTCTTGGTCTTATTACTTTGCACTAAAACAAGAAATAAACCCATTGAGGCATCAAATGTATAAAATTATAACGCAGCAGAGCGGCTCTGCTCCGAAGATTTCTTGGTAGGGACAGACCTGCCATACGGCAACCTATGTGTACTTATCACCGTCAACAAGTTGCAAGCAGCCAGAAATCTGTCTCCTACGTAGTTGCCCGGGTAACCCGCGGGAGGTCGCCAACCTGGCAGGC